GGAATTCTGGGAGTTGAAGTCCACACATCTTAAAGTTGCCACGGTTGAGAAACACTGATCTGTAGGATATCTTGAAGGAGTGAAATGTGTGAGTGCGCTGCTTATCTAGAGTTGGAGCCTGCCAGTTTTCATTTTCCTGCATATATTTCCTTAAATAATGTTGTGGGTGAATTGGAATGAGGTGGCCATACTACACAAAAATAAAGACAAGGTTCCTTGAGATAAGCTCAGCCCTCAGTGATTTCACAGACACCTCCATCTTGCTTTCCTGGCAACCTTATGGAACTGCCTTCTTCCAGGATCTGCTCTGCAGCCTTCAGATTCCCTCGTGGCCTCCCCTCCAAGTCCAAATCCAACCCTGCTTAGCTATTTGAAAATTGCCCAAGGTCAGCTTAGTGCCATCATCTTCCTTCCCACACCCAACTTTGGTTTGTATGCTTACTCTGGTTGTAAAATGTGAGTAATTTCTACAAGCTGATGGAGATGTCCTGTTCCAAATGGTTAATTAGTATTCAGTTAATTAGTATTCAACCAAAGTTTAGGAATTGCCTATTAGCTGTTTTTGCCTATATACTGGGGAATTTGCCCAGATTTAATTGTTTATATTTAGTTGTGCAAGGTCTCCTCTTATGTGGCATTTCCTGCTTGTCTTAATTAATATTTTATTCCTTACAGCTAAGTGATTCCTCACTTTGGGGTTAATGCAAATTAATTGTACACACTGGAAATTGTTTAAGCAGTAATACCAGCAAGAGGATTTGCTGTTGAGAAGCTAATTAAATTGTGGTCCAGCGAGCCATGTTGCTTCTTTTTAAGAAGTCGTTACTAAAATGAGCCCAGACTCTCAAACCCGGGTGGATTTGTGACAGAGATGACCTACAATTTAAAGCAGAGTTTCTCAACCTTGGCAACTTTAAGATGTGTGGACTTCAACTCTCAGAATTCCCCAGCCAGCTTGCTGGCTGGGGAATTCTGGGCATTGAAGTCCATACATCTTAAAGCTGCCAAGGTTGAGAAACACTGATTTAAAGCATGACTTCTGTGTTAAGATAAGGAGCATTGCCGTTAGTTCATTTGAGTGCTGTCTTTAAATAATTGTTTAATTGTTCTGCACACACAAGAATGTTGCAGGGGGTAATATCCTTGACCAAATGACATATAAGATCCATGCATATATACATAGATACAAGCGTATCCTTCCCCTTGTGGTGTTTTCTTCTGAGTAAGCAACACTGTGCAGAGCACAGAAGAGGATTCAGTCATAGCCAAATAAAGCAAAGGAATGAGATAACAAAAGAAAAGATCAACACCTTTCATTTTACTTCTCCATACCTTTCCTTCCTTACAAGCTAACCTTGCCTCCACTATGCCCATACTTGTTTCATCTACTGTCTTTTGTATAATGTGCAACCTTCCCTCCGTTTCCCTGTCAGATGCAGCTAAGTCTTTGCCTACTCTTGATGTTGATGTAGGTTTCAAATGTTGCCTAACTGTTGGGCTGTTTCTGTAACACCGATGGCTGATATTTCTATTCTTGTTTGTTTGATTAGGGTTTTCTTCTCTTTTTTTCCTTTCTGTGTTGTTTTTGATTTATGTCTGATGTTATGTGTGCTGTCTAGAGCTCCTATGAAAATTGAGGTGGCCTATACGTTGACTAAATAAATCAGATTTTCAGATCTATGCTTTGTATTGCTTCACACTATCTAATGTTGGCTGCAAATCATTTGGGTTCTTAGCAAACAGCATGGCATCATCTGCATACAAAAGTACCTGTATTTTCATCTCCCTAACGACCCCACTTCTAACATCACTAGAAGCATTCCTTAAATATTTATCCATAAATATACAGTATTAAATAAATATGAGGATCTCACACTCCCTTGTTTACTTCCTGTTCAGTATCAATCTGTTCTCCAATCATTCTGTTCATTCTCACGCATGCTTTACTTTCATCATCTAAGTTGGAACCAAGAGTCATTTCAACGAGACAGGCAGTGACAAATTTGATTGATAAATAAATAAAATGTGCCTTAAGAATCAATACGCTGTATAAACATTAGCGTTTCCTATAACTCGTTGTGTTATTATCTCTGATATGGCCAATACCAGCTGCTCCAATGTTTATTTTATATAATTACATTGTTTGCCATACTTTCCCATTCACTGACTAATTAGCATTTCTGCAGAGCTGTAGCTAAATCTGAAGTCTAGATCAGTTGTAAATGGAACTTGCACGCTTTACACTGATTTAGATAAAACAGGTGATTATACAAATGCATTTCCCCTGGGTGCTTAATTTACCTTGTCCTACTCTCTTTTATATAGGATCAAGCATGAAAATATCGTGGCGCTGGAAGACATTTATGAGAGTTCAAGCCACTTGTATTTGGTTATGCAATTGTGAGTACCTGCTATAATGAACCTTTTTATCAAATTGGCAATATGCACATAATAATGTCTATACTGAGATTCTATAAAACTCTGGAAATCATCCTTTCTCCAAGATAATTTCTTTGTGGAGTTCATTTGGTGAAACTTCACTGTAAAACCAACTTTGAATATGTGGATGTGGTTCGACCAAGGCTTTAGTCATCCCTTGGAATGAGAGAGCAACAGTGACCAAGAACAGATCACACCTATGCAGACTCTCCATACATGTGGATCCCTGAGGATGGGGCAATCCTGGCAGGGCCCTCCAGATATTTAATCCTCCGTGAGGGAGGCACTTCCTCAGTCAGAGTTGGTGTGCAACTTGGGGGTCCTTCTAGACTCATGACTCCTGCTCAAAGAGCAGGTGGTAGCCACAGCTAGGGAGATCGTTTCTTAAACTCATCTTGTACACCAACTGCACCTGTGCCTGGACCAGGATGTCATGCTCATAGTGACTCACACCTTAGTCATCTCTCATCTGGATTACTGTACTGTGTTCTACATGGGATTGCCCTTGAAGAGCATTTGAAAGCTGCAGTTGGTCCAGACTGCAGCAACGCAGAGAGTTTTTGGCATTTCATGTTATGCCCGTATATGTCAGCCTTCCCAGGTACATCAGATAGGAAACACAACCAGATGAGCTAATTCTACATTATTGTAAAGCTACATTAACAAAATATTTCAAGTCTGAAAGTACAAATCTCCTGCTGTCCTTTAACAGCCTAAGAAGTTAGGGAGGTTCCTTTCTGAGTTTCTTTCTCTGTCCATTATGCAGCTGTGGGCTATCTCCCCTCTTATCTGATCGTTCCCTAGGCAGCATCTCTTCCTCCTGTTTCCCAAGGTCATTCCCACATACCAATACATATAACATCACTGCTCCATAAGCTGCATGGGCTCCCAATGGACTTCCAAGCACAGTTTAAAGCACTGGTGATCACCTGTAGGGCCTTTTGTGCCATTGGGCCAGGCTATTTGTGGCACTGCCTGCCTCCATCATCTCTGTTTGCCCCACCAGATCCAGCAGGAAGAGTGTGCTCTGGGTGCTTTCCATCAAACAATGTCATCTTGTTGGACCCAGAAATCATACCTTCTCTGTGACATCACTCACCCTATAAAACAGTATCCCTCCAAAGATCCAAATGGCACCCACCCTGACAGCCTTTCATAAGACATTAAAGACCTGGCAGGTCCTTCAGGCATTTGGGCCAGATGGCTAGGTGATCTCTGCTGGTTAAATGTTGGGGGTTTTTAAGTGGAGTTTGTGTTTGTGACTTCAGGCATTATGGTTAGTTTGTTAAACGATTGTTTTATTTTTTTATGCTGTCCAGAGTCACTTTTGTGAGATGGGTGGCCATATAAATTGTTTAAATCAAACAGTTAATTAGTCAATCCATCCATCCTGTGCCATAGCAACTCTTACTTGCTTATTTCTTACACCATTTCTTTTCTCAATGGTTGGATCATTTCTCCCATCAAATGCCTGCTAATAGGAGGTCCACAGGATGGGGTTGTCAAAAAAGTCAAGATGGCAGCTGCATCCACATGATTGAAACCCTGCCCATGTATTAAAGGGGCCTGGCTTCAAGCACACAGACACAGTTGCCATCTTGACTTTTTTTGACACAAACACACACCCATCATCACAGATTGCCCTTCCTGCTCAGCAACTTTCTTTACTTTTTACCGGTGGATGGAATCTGTCATGTTTCATCTGCCTCTCAGAGAAATTTATTTATTTTTACTATCTGCTACATTTTATGAAGTTCCTTGTGTTTTTTGTTTGATTTTTAACTATTGTGCATTTGCATTTCTAACTATTGCATATTGTTGTTTCAAATTCAGCCAATTCCTCCTTGAGTTTATTTGCCAGATAGTTCAATCCATTAAAAAATAATAAAATTATGCCAAAAAGTTGAAACGATGTAGGTATATAATAATAACCTTCATCTGTTGCTAAGAAGTGTTTCAACTATAGTCCTAATCCCTATTTTAAAATGTTGATTTTAGGAAGTGCAGCATAACATAAAAACGATAATCAAGTAACCATGCATAATTTCCTCAGTTCAGTCTAAGACTAAGTGTCCTTGGGTTATTTTTTGTTATCTTGGAAATTTTGATCTGTTGATACAGAAGTCAGCAGATGAGCCTATTTTTTTGACTCACTTCTTATTGGTTGCAACATTTCCGTTGCTTTGTTGCAGCTCGCAAAGTTTATTTTTCACTTCATGCCCCTGCACAAGAAAAAGCAAACAGAATCTTTCTCTTACAGTTAAAATAACTGCCTGCAATTCATTTTTAAAACCTAGGCCATAATATATTGGCTTCTATTTTTACAGATAGGTATGGTTTGCGTAATTTCTTCTACCAACTAGCAGTGCCTGTTCCAGTATGCAAATCCCATATAAGTCACTCTCGGAAGGTTCCTCTAAACTGCAGAAGAAATAAAAAAATACTGTCATGCTTTCCAGGGTTCACCAAATTGTTCTCTTCTGCTATTGAGCAAGCACACATCCAGAACCTTAGAGAAAACAATAATAACTCAGAATTGGATTGCGCATAGTTCCAGGCAGCAGTTGTCATAACTGTGACCTACAGCATTGGAAACTCAGAAAAGACTGTAGGATATGAGAAATACAAAACAAGAGGCTTCTAGATGTCTTGGCACTGTGACTCCCAGAACTCCTAGCTAGTTGGGTCATGTTGACTGTGAATTCTGAAATTCATAATTCCAAAATACATGAAGAACACGGGATGGGAAAAATTGGTGTATCATGTTTTAGACAGTCTTCTTCTGTATTGGAGCATTAGTTTGTTCAATCAAGAGCTTCTATCTTTGGCTGAACTTGCCCTCCAGGACAACATATAATTTAAAAATACAGCACGAGGCTGACAAAAGGAGCAACAAGTGTTTATTTATAACGTTCCCTTTTTATAACAAAGTTCTTTTTATAACTACAGTACCCCACTGCAGAGGGTTGTTGTCAAATTAACGTTATTGTAGATTTTTTTTTATGTTCAAATAATAGCAAGAGATAATCCCAAGAGAGCAATTGTTCAAAGTCTGTTTTTTTTTTTAAGAAAGTTTGTGGACAGGAACTGTCAACTGTAACTCTTTTCGAGGTTTATGTTGTCAAATTAGTCAGACCACATAATGAAATCATATTTCAACAGAAGCACAGTAAGAATGTTTAGAAGTGAATTTTCCCAGCGTTATTAAAATCCCACGTTTGGGTCCCCTGTGAACACAAATGGTGTGTTTCACACTAAGAACACACTGCTGTGTTTGTAAGGTTGGCACAATGATGACATCAAGAATAAAACATCAAGGCTACCTTCTATGAATAGAGAGAAATTGCCAGAAAACATGAAAGTTTGGTCACAAATTGGTCACAAATCCTGAAATCTTTAACAGGTACAGTATATGAAAAAAAAAGCCCCACTGAATTCAACAGAGCATACACTTAGTAAATATTTATAAAATTGCAACCTTAAACAGTATTAGATTGTAGCAAATGGAGGTAAACAACCTTGGGTTTAGAGAAGGAGAAAGTTCAAAAAGGAATTGATGTTTCTCCACAATCCAGGGATCTAGAAATATGAAGTTGGAATTAGATTTTTTTTTTTTAAGGAAGATTATGTTGCCTTCCATGTTGGAAGCTCCAGAGTGGCTAAAAACATAGGACGTGTGATTGCTCCCTACAATTACATGATACCCTTTCTCTGGACTGCTTTTTGGAGAGGGGTGTCTTATTTGGGGGGAGTTAATTCTTTATTGTCATTTATATTGTTATATTTTCATCCTGTTTTGTGGGTTGGTTTATTATGTGCAATTATTCTATTGTAAGCCACTTTGATCAATAATTTGTAGCATGGGATACACATTCCGGCAGTAGCTAATTCAAATGCCTAGCAGAATTTCCCCCACTCCGGAAGAACTTGATAGGCCTCATGAGGGTAGGGAACACCCCAGTAGAAAGGGTTGGACCTACATGGTACCAGCCTATTCCCAGAGTGTCTAGGAGCAGAGGGCTGATTCTCAAATGAGCTGAATTGTGGCTGTTAATGTCTTAAAAGGCAACAGTTAACACATTGAATGGAGCCCAGAAAGTAATTGATAAGCAGCAGAATCATGAATATCTGGAGGAATTTGGGAGGTGTTAAATTGATTATAATTTGCAAGCATAACATGAGCTGCTACAATATACGTATCCATTTTTCTTACTTAATATCATATTTCATGATATAACATATTACAGCATACAGGGAGGGAGGGAGGCGGGTGGGTGGGCAGGTGGGCTACTTTTTTCATTAGATGAATGAAAAATGATTACCTCTTTTTCATAAACTAGAGAGAAAGATATAGGAACACCACCTTTTTTCATAAATTTAACAACCTTCCAAGATTTGTCAGGAAAAGGGGCACATATTCAAGAACAGGAACATGAGAAGCTACCTTATAACAAGTTGTCCTGGTCTATCTAGTTCAAAGCTTTCTACACAGGTTTGCACAACTTTCATAGTGGATTTTTTCCCCAGCCCTAAGGAGAAGCTAAGGATTACGCTTGAGAGCGTCTGTATGCAAAAGAAAGGCTCTACCATTCTTAGCCCTGTGAAATAGTCCAGACAAGAAGCACAACCAGGAGTACCAGCTCTCTCTTTATTGTAAGGTTACATTAACAGAATCTTGCAAGACTGAAAGTATCTCCTCTTCTTTCCTTTTACTGTCTGGAAAACTAGGGAGGGCCCCTTCTGAAACTTCTCCCACGCCCTCCCTCCTTCTGTGGGCTGAGATATCTTTTACATGCCAGTTGTCCAGTCTGCGCCTCTCCCTCCTGTCTCCCAAGGTCATTCCCACAGACCATCACAACCTCTGAACTGTAGTCCTTTCCTTTCTCTTGGAAACATTGGTAAACATTTAGTAGGGAGCTGCAATGAAGTCTGGCAAGTGTTGTTTGCCATGGGAATGGGAA